GCGTAGCCAAATTGCATTCACTAATGCATTTATCCGTTATCCCAATATTTTTTTTTAAACACATTAAATGTGTATCTACGTACCTAGGGGGCTACAATCCCGTAAAAGATTTTATTAATTTTTATTAAACTCTGGGCGGAGGGGAATATGATACTTTCATTTTGCCCCAGGCGGCACAAGATACGGCCCAAAATGGGTGGGTGCCCCAGGCGGCACAAGATACGGCCCAAAATGGGTGGGTGCCCCAGGCGGCACAAGATACGGCCCAAAATGGGTGGGTGAGCCAGGCGGCACAAGATACGGCCCAAAATGGGTGGGTGCCCCAGGCGGCACAAGATACGGCCCAAAATGGGTGGGTGCCCCAGGCGGCACAAGATACGCCTCTGAATAAAGGAATGAATTTAATAAATATTTAACCTTATTAGGTTCATACATCGGGTGTAGGAAATACGGTTTGTACGATTTAACGTGTTTGACAATATCTTTCAATTGAAATCCTACGAGATTACGGTTGTGAAAAATAGAGATCATAGTATTTTTTTTACAAATAAATATATGTTTAACAATTAAGAAACCTAATGGCGTTAACAAATCGTGGGTACATATACATATATATATATATATATATATATATATATATATATATATATATATATATATATATATATATATATATATATAAAAAATAAAAAAAAAAATGGAGATAAAAAAAAGTGTGTATATATATATATATATATATATATATATATATATATATATATATATATATATATATATATATACATAAGTATAGCCATGAATATTAAAACCCTATCGTTGCACACATGTGAAATTTATGAGATTAAAAACAGAAATGGTATTATTTAAATAAAAGACACTCAAGAACGTTACAGATGTAAAAAAAAAAAAAAACGTTTAAGAGAATCTTATCTAGATAGAATATTTTTTAATGATTTTTCTACAATATAGAAGAAAACAAAGTAAAAGTTTCGTTATATTTTTAATGAAGATTGTATATCAACTTCCGTTAACATATAATGTATCATATAATTGAATAGAGGGTTTTAATGTGAATTTAAGATTAAATTTTCAAAATTTTTAGAGGGAAAAATTTTTTAGTTTAGGGGCATGAAAAGTGGAAGGGTGGGCCAAATATTGAACAATTTAAATACACATGGCATCAAAAGAATTTCTCTTGCTTAGAAATCAAGCTTGAGCGAGCTCCTTTAGTGAAAAGAATGATTTTATTGGTGATCTTTTAGATTTTGTAATTTTAGGTCATGCTTAGAGAAAGAAAATGTATGGTCACGAAAAAGGGTAAGTAAGTCATATAAAGCAGTAAAATAATTCTTAAAACTGTTAATTATGCTAGAAACGTAAAAAACATTATCTAGATACTTCTTTTTTTTAAATAAGGAATTGTGATGAGTTTTTGTAATAGCAGGTACAATTATAGCAAAGTGCCTGCCATTGTTATCTCAATAACATCGAATTATATTTTCTAGTATATAAGAAAAGCATTTATTTAAGGACTAATTTTATTGGCGGGTGTAGCTTTCATAAAAATGAAGTGAAGAAAACCAGAGCAGACATATTGAAGAAGGTGAACATTTAAATAATTAATGTTTAGAAAAGAGAAATTATATACATATATATATATTGAAGATAAATATCCTGAGCTGTTGCTATTAACATTAGGTGTAGAAGTGTTTGTTATAGAAGTGACAGTGACAGTTGGTCTAGTAAATAAATTTAGATAACTATCACCACTCTGGGTCCCCACACACAAAGTGAATAATTACAGTAGAGATATAATGTGATCCATTTTTAAATTGTCTAATTAATTACTTAAAAAATCTTAAATTACAGAAGGCATTTCAGTTTCAAAGATACTTCAGCGGTCAAATAACCGACATCAGCTCATTATTGTAGGCCGATTGATTGGTGATAATAATAATAAAGGGTAGAGACTGTGTACGGATGAAGTAGAAGGAAATAAAATAAATAAAGTATGGGGAAGCCTGAAAAAGAACTTAGAAAAATAACGATCTTGTCGATAAGAAGCCTTCTTCGGTGAACAAAACACAGTAAAAACAATCTAAAAAATCAAATAAACACTAGCTGCAATATGGTATCCAATTCCTCTTCCTGTCCCCTCGGACAAGAAAAGATTTTTAGAGGGAAAATGTATTGATTGTTTTTTAAAGTGCTTGATAACAGAATAATCTCGGCATGGATGCACCCTTTTGTTCTTGGCTGCAACAAATCCGCAGTGTGAAAATACCTTAAGCGCTTAAGATGCCAACCATGATCAGAAACGGACAAATGGTTGAAAACAATATGCAGAAGAATGTTAATTTATGCTAACAAGTATTGATAATTCAATCGTATATTCATCTACTTAAACTTTATTCATAAATAAATGACAGATTGCTTTAAATTTTTGACATGGTACTTAATAAAAAATTTGACCATGTATATTTATAAATTTTTTTTAAACCCTGATATTTGTGTATTACAGGAACTGTAGATTCGAATTTATTTTTGCAGTCTTTTTTAAACAGCTAGGTGGTCGTATTTAACGGGATTGACATGCAAGTGTTTTAGAACTGCTGCGCTCAGTTTTTCGCACTGATGTCTTCTCAAAAAAAGATCTATGACGATAGAAATGCTCCTCGGGTATTTTAGCAGATTATGAGACAATTATACCAACAGGTAAGAATTAAAAAAAAATAATAATTAGCTTTATGATTGAATGTGTGATTGAATGTGTGATTGAATGTGTGATTGAATGTGTGATTGAATGTGTGATTGAATGTGTGATTGAATGTGTGATTGAATGTGTGATTGAATGTGTGATTGAATGTGTGATTGAATGTGTGATTAAATGTGTGATTGAATGTGTGATTGAATGTGTGATTGAATGTGTGATTGAATGTGTGATTGAATGTGTGATTGAATGTGTGATTGAATTCCCATCAATAAAACTCTAAAATCGTCAACTCTGAGATGAATTAAGTTAAAATTATTAATTTCTTTTCTTCTTTGCGGATGTAGGGGACTTCAGAACGCCATTTTATTTATTTCCTTTGTTGTTGTTTTATTAAATATGTGAGATGCAATTTTAGGGAACAATTTAATTTAAGTCCATGTAATTTTTATTAACTAAGGAAGAATAGGGTCAAGGGCATGAGAATCACTCTTTGATAGTATGAATGCTGTTTGGATCCTTGAGTTGTGTCGTGAGTGTTAACATTGTGTGTGAATGATTATTGGATGAGAGGAATAGAGTAAGAAACAAGAGTGTGGATGTAAGGCGTGAGCAAGAGAGAGTGAGAGCGAGAGTTGATTAAATAGATCGTCATGAGACGTTCGTGAGTGATGGCTCTAATGTCTTTGGGTGGATCGTTTAGTTATAAGGAGATACTGTAACTAGCTGAATGTGCGTGACAGAGACAAGTGATAAAGTAGAAACGTAGTCATTCATAAAGTGTTAATGGTCCAATACTCGGTGTGCCCGGGTATTCGTCCATTGACAGCGTTGTAGAGTACCATCGGCACCGGGCAAACGTTGCCAGAAAATACTCGAAGATGCTCAACTGGAGCAATCGAGTATTTTAAAAGTTAGCCAAACTTTTATATTTGTATTTGATAATTTATTGAAAACCGAAAACAACCATTAATTTAAATGAATGTGTATGTATTGAAACGTTAATGGCAATTCAAAAATGTTTAAAACACTTCTTCTGCTACATTTTTTTTATTTCATTTTATTTTGAAAACACATATTTTGTATAGGTCTAGGCCTTCGTCCTGTTTTCTTCCATTTAAATTAGAAGCAATTAATTAAAAACCATTGATGTTGACGTGAACTTGACAAAGATGGCCATCACATCGGCATAACGGTACTCTTAAATGAAAGAAATATTAAATTAATTCATGCATGAATTGATTAAAAGTGCCTGGGTTTAAGTGACAGTGTATAACATTAAATAGTCGAAATACAGGAACATCATTTAAATAACTTTCTTTTAATATCATTTGGGTGAAAATTCGAACGTAAGCCCCGAGATCCCAACCAATGGGTCATGACCCCCTAATGGGTCGCGAAGCGTTTTCTGTAGGATCGCTGGCTTAAATTGTTAATTTAAAAAATAAATATTGATTTTAAATTAATTTTTAAAATATTTTTACAAATTATATATAGTAATAACCACAATTTTTAAATTGTTTTAAAATTATTTAGTCGGTCGTTAGTACTCGCTAGTCCGGCTCACAAGTTTGAGTTCACTTGACATTCTATTACAATCTGTTTTTATTTATTTCATGCATTTCAAATTGCTATTGTAAGATTTTTTTTCTTGAATTTTTGTGTGTGTTCAATCTCTTTTTTTCCCCATGTAAATTTTGACTGCAATATACTAGATATACGCGGTTTTCAAAAGGAATATTCCAAAAATTGAATACCTCCTTACCATTGGGTGTACTTTGTAAGAGGGCCATGGAGTCCAATGGTGAATAAACAAACTTTGGAAAACTCGTAATAATCATTGGCCAATTTAGTGCACATGAGTCCGTTAACTTATCGATTGCAAAGACGTAAGCGGCGTCCAGATGACATCCATTTTGGAGACTATTTATTGAAAATCGACGATTGCTTACCCAGTCATCAAAGCTGCAAATAGAAAATAATAATAATAATAATAATAATAAAGTTCATTTCAAAAACACGCTTCATCCCCAAAGGCTCGAAGCGCGGTACAAAGTAAAAAACAACAACAAATCTATAGTTCACCACATTTAAAACAAACGCAACACGACAAAAACTAAGTACAAGCATACAATGTCAAAGTCTGTTAAATAGTGAAAGTTTGAATACAATAAGTATATTCACTGCACGTTACTTAGACCCCCTCAACAATAACGTAGAGTAGAATCAACATCATTTCTCCTACCCTTCTATACTGAAGTTTGAAATGACAAATCTAGGAGAACCATCCATCATGTCTCCCCATGTGGTGTTGATAATCTTCGACCATGTAAACCATGATGTCCGCGTTGAGTTTCTCCCATCAAATAGAATGTATTTTACTTCAGTTCCATGTGTGTACAGTGAAAACTTTACCTGTATTACAAAAATCAACAAAGACATTTCAGTTTGTATCTGAACGTTCCGAAATTTAACAAAAGGATATAATTGTATGTAAACATGGTTTTATTTTTATTATTATTATTATTGTTTTCAAAACAAGTAACTGAATAAAAGCCACTCCAATGGACAACTTAAAACGTGCACATTTAGTTACAATTATTATACGTGTTAATTATTTTTAAATAATAAAAAAATCTTAATGGTAATAAGTGATTGTTTTTGTTCATCACTTATCAACTTTTTTTTAAAAGTTAAGGGCAGTTAGGTTTATAAAAATTGTGTTCTCTTTTTGTGTAAACGAACTACAAAAATGTTTTAAAATGTTACAAGGAATTGAATCAAATAATTTGTATCTTGCCTTATCAATGTGAACACTTTTTTAGTCTAATTATCTATATTAAGCCATGAAATTCATCATAGCAATATTAACCCATTGACCTCACCATATTAATATTAACCCATTGATCCAGGATGAAGCTCCTGAAATGCCGCCTGCATGTGTTAGAGTAAGTTAATTGTAAACATTCAACAGGGAAGTCAACTGACAGTGGATTGTCATCAGATTTTCCAGTGGACTTCCATAAGTTATACAACGATTGGTAGTTATCTCTCTGGGCTCTAAAAACTAAAGTCCAGTTGTCAAATTGAACTGTAAAATAATGTAAAAGTAGATTAATATAAAAGATGTTGACGTTATTTTATAAAAATGGTACAATTTATTTTCGTCTTAAATAGTTCCAAGTTAAATAATGTCAAAATAATTTTTTAAAAGTAAATTTTTAAAAAATAATTTGTATTAGTTGAAATTTTTGATGACCATAATGCTAATAATAAAACACGTTAAGGCTAATTCAATTACAGGTCTCAATTTTTCTTTTCTAATCAATGAATATGAAAACTCTAAAACCTTTACCAGGTACAATAGGCCACCTCAACATAACTGAACCAGGAGTAGCCAAAATTTTCAAAAACATGAATCCCAATAAAGCGCCCGGACCTGACTTCATCCCGAACATTGTCCTGAAGACCCTGGCTGACAACATTGCCCCAAGCATCACCCGCATTTTACAAAAGTCGCTTGACTCCGGAAAACTCCCTCTAGACTGGCTTGATGCAAACATCACGTGTGCCCACAAGAAAGGTGACCGCCATAACTCAGCAAACTCCCGCCCAATATCCTTGACCTCCGTCCCATGAAAAATCCTGGAACACCTCATCTGTCGCCACACGATGAATCCCCTTGAACACAACAACATTTTGACCAGCCTAAACCACGGGTTTCGCTCTGGATTCTCAACAGAAACTCTGTTAATCATCACCACCAATGACCTCCTTGCCTCCTATGACAAAGGTAACCAGGTCGACATGACAATTCTCGACTTCTCCAAGGCCTTCGACACTGTTCCACACAGCCTTCTCCTACACAAGCTCCACCACTACGGTATTACCGGCAACCTTCATTCCTGGCTCTCAACATTTCTAACACAACGGAGCATGCAAGTTGTGGTTGGATGGCGTCCGATCAGGCAAAGCCACCGTAGACTCAGGGGTTCCTCAAGGCACCCTCCTCTTTCTCTGTCTCATAAATGACCTCCCTGATACTGTTAAATCTCAAGTGGGCTGTTTGCTGATGACTGTCTTGTCTACAGAGAGATAAACGGCTAATATGACCACAATCACCTCCAAGCAGATTTGAAGTGCCTAATGAACTGGGCGGACAACGAGGGCATGAATTTAAAGAAACCAAATGCTACATAATTAGCATCTCAAGAAGAAAAAACATCAACCTATATCCACTCACAAAACAAAACCATTCTCCAACAAGTATCAAATAATCCATAACTTAGAATTCTCTTCTCGCTCACTAAACTCTGACTTCACCTCTAACAACCCCATTAGCAATTACATAAGGTACAATAGTAAATGCTTCACTGTGCCTCGGTGTGACACAGTCCAATATAAACAATCATTCTTCCCACGCACAATCCTCGCTTGGAACCACCTGGACAATACCGCCGTAAACTTGATGTCAATGGAGAGCTTCAAGACTGCCCTGGCATCCGATAGGAGCCGTTAAAATACCAGCAAAATACCATTTGCACATATGCCAGTACATGGATTCAGCAACGTACCCTACCAGAACCAGGGTGAAGATCTGAGCATAAACCATGTCCAAAAACTGTATTTCTCTAAGTTTAAACGATAGAATACCAGGTACCAACAGGAGGGTTGCGATCACGAAGGAGGTCACTGAGAGCTTTTTTGGGAGTCGTCAGACTATTAGAATAGAATTTTTTTTTTTTTATTTAGAAATTTCGCTTAATATTTTTTATCTCGACACATACTTCCTAGTGAATTTATGGTGTTTTCTTTATTTATTTATTTATTTTTTTTAATTGTTTTACGGCCTCTTGTTTGTGTGCTAAAAGCACAGTGAACTCCACATAATTGTCAGTCATTTTGGGGCAGCTATCCTTTTAAGAAGCACCAGTATAATTGGTGCTTTCGTTGTTCTACTGAAAGTAATTTTTGGGGCGAGAGACTACTGTACGCAGGTTGTAAAATGCAAAAGTTATCAAATATTATCTACTCGGAAGATAGTTTTAAACAGCTAAATGACGTCAATTCCCATACATTCCTTACCAAGTGATAGTAATATTTAGACACTGGTATCGTTAATAGTTATGAGGAACATGTTGCAATATTTTTAACAGCTATGAAAATACATTACAGGGATCTGATAGCAAACAGTTGATGATTCTGAAATATGAAACAATCGGTCACCATAAAGCCCTTGACTGAATAATTTTAGTTCAACCTCCTTGATATTACAGTGGAAGCGCATGTTAAAAAACGAATTTCTATTCCATGAATGTAATTAGATTCTAGATGAATTTCGCCAAGCATTCTATGATCTTTAGACTAACCTATTTTACCCTCTGACTAGCCTTGAACTAACTTGTTCGATTGCAAATTGCTTAGTTTGATGTATTGGTTAAAATAGCAGTTTTATTTTGGGTACGGTTAAGAAATGAAAGCGATTACATTTTTTTTTAAAAATTGTAATCTTAACGATGCTTAAAGAGTTAGAACCAGCATCTCATATCACGTAGGTAATTACGACATACAATTTACATCCTCTGCTAGGAATAACCCTAGTCCTTGCTCTTGTACTCTCTCGTTTTGATATTGCAACTTTATTCTGTCAGTTTCACCAAACATTTCATTAAAAAACTACAAAAGGTTCAAAACTCAGCTGCTAGGCTAGTTCTTAAGTTTGAAAAAAAACGTGATCTCCACTACTCCACTCACTTCATTGGCTCCCTATACAGGCCCGCAATGATTACAAACTGTCTGTTATCTATCACAAATTTTTCTCGGATGCATGCCCTTCCTATCTAACCGAAATTCATTCTGTCTATTCACCCCTTCGATAGCTTCGCTCCATCGCAGACACGCGTATTCTTTCTGTTCCCAAGACACGCATATAAACATGTAATAAACGATCTTTCTCTTTCTGTGCCCTCAAACAATGGAATTCTCTCCCATTACACATCCGCAATTTACCGACCATACAGGCCTTCAAAACTGCACACAAAACACATCTCTTTAACTTCTACTGTCCCGACTGATTCTCCACTCTGATCACTAAACGAAGCTGCTGGATGCCGTCCGTGGCTTGACATGTAAAAGTAAAAGTTATGGGGGTGGATGGGGTCAATATAAATTTGTTTTTTGTTTTTTGTTTTCAAACCGCAATTTTTTAAAATAAATAAATGTATGTTATTTTTTAATGTCACGATTATGTTTGCTAATATTTGTATGTGCAGCGCGGTGAGCCAAGCCCTAGGCTGGGGTACCGCGCTATATGAGATAACTAATAGTTATAATAATAATCTCGCGCTATCATACTTTTGGCGTCAGGCTTCTTTAAAGATTCCAAAGACTTGAGTTTGCTCGATTGTTGTATTCGAAGTGACGCTTGGCATATATTTGGGAAACTTTGGAAACAAGCTAATGGAGTGTTTTAGTATAATTCCTTGCTGACGTAAATAATCCACACAAATCAATACTCTTTATACATTTACCTGGTTTATTCTTGTAAATGGTGTACCATAGTGGATCACTGACTCGTTGGATGGAGCTGTCATAAACTCTGTCTTTGAACGTCACACACTGGTTTAGTGTACGGCTAAAAGTCGCACCTTCACAGTCTCCAGTACAGAAACTTGCGCACTTAACTAGGGACATGTCTCAAGACGAAATAAAATACAAATAAATAATAACATTTTTAAAAGCACCTGTAGCTTTTTGAAATTAAAATATAAAATTTGACTCTTTCCTTACATGACTATATTATGTTACAATTCAATTAAATGGCCGTAAATCGTTAAAATATCTGCTTCTGTAATAGTCGCCTTCAATAATTTTAAATTGGTAGCATTATTCTGTTGTACCAATAAAAACTCAGCATTTGGTATGTGGATTTAAAGGAAGTCGAAAAAAACAAAATAATTAAAAAATATAAAAAAGTATCTAGTTAATACGCAACTTTTGTTTCGGTAATTATAATTTAAATTAATTATTTTGTTTTTTTTACAAAATCTATTTTAAATGTTATTTTTTATTGACAACGAGCAACACATTATTCCTTTCTTACTTTTAAAACTGAATGCCTTTATCTGTGTTCCACTGTACAGTTTGTATCCCTTCCATGTTTTAAATTTTTGTTTCTCTACTAGCGCATCGGAATTCAACACTGATAAATCAATCAGTAATAATGTTAAGCCAAATACTATAGCCATATCTGGGTCAACAATGCAGTAATTTATATTGCAGATTATTTTCGAACATGCAGCTTACAAAACACATGTTCCGGTAACGGTAATATTTTACATCAGACCCAGTCTTGTCTTTGGTGCAAAATTATATGTTTGTTTCTTTACTTTGAAAAATATATTTTGAGTTGATATTTTATAAATTATATTTTCACTTTGTTCTTGATTTGAAAAACAAAACACGTCCACAATTCACATGATCAATGTATGGCCTGAGGCAATTTAACATCTCCTGAAAGATTGGTGGCTCTTTTATTGAGCTTTCACATACAATTATGGCTTAAATACCTGCTGGATAGGCTTCAAGATTCATTCTTCAAAAAATAAAGTTTAGTTTACCGGCTCATGTTTGCTGCTCGCCTCAGTGTCAACATAAGTAATGACATTTCTGTTTTGTTTCCCGCTGAGTTCAAAATAGATCCAAACCTCTGAGCTGTTGGTCTTCACTTTAAATCATAATATGACGTCATCGATGTTTAAACCTTCTGCCAGTGTGTCAATGTTTTTTCATTAAAGCCATTAGGAAAGGGTATAAAATTCTCTAAACATTAAACATGTGTTCAAAGTTAATCAAAGTATTATAAAAATAGAAAGTCTTATTGATCGTCTGTTAGATGGAAGGCATGGGCGCCCATGATGGAAGGTGCTGGTTCTAACCATCAAACGTCTCTATGGCAACACCAAGCCACTGGCTGCGTTTACACATGATATAAAAACATGACTAGTTCCTCACAGTGTAATATGACGTCTGTAAGCATCCCTCCCTCCGTGAACTTGAAGTCACTGTAGCATCTAGTTGACCAGTACCTTGGTCAGTACCTTGGTCAGTACCTTGATCAATACCTTGGTCAGTACCTTGGTCAGTACCTTGGTCAGTACCTTGGTCAGTACCTTGATCAGTACCTTGGTCAGAACCTTGTTCAGTACCTTGGTCAGTACTAACGTGCTCTAAATGTGTGTATGGTGAATACTTTAAAAATAGTATTGCTAATAAAGCAGTGGACTAATGTTGCACCCACTACCGGGCGTTTATCGTGAACTTGTTTGGTCACTGTCCGCATGCCTGTCCCGAAAATAATGAAGTGTTTACATGAGGTAACACGTTCATCTTAGGCTAATTTTAGGAATGTTCCATTTAAATGTATTATATTTTTTTTTAGAGTCGTTAATTTAGTTTAATGAATAAATCGAATCTGACCAATGAAATGATGTAAAATATTATTTGACTGATATCATGCGGATCAATAATTTTATAAAGAAAATAGACTTCTGTTTATCGAATATTTTAAGCGTAATGATGCACTGTTACATTTTTGGGACATCCGTATGTTTTAGCTGTGAGTCCGAAGTGAAACAGGGAGACCAACTGTCTAATACTGTTGTGTGGTTTCCAATATTGTGGTGTCTGTGTAGGCTAATGGTCGGCAAATCGTGGCTCTTGAGCCGCATGCGGCTCTGTAGCGACCTGAATGCGGCTCGGCCAGTCGGCCACAAATTGGTTTTGACTCCGAAAAACATGGTTACTGATAATGACAGGTTCTCAATAAAAATGTAATCGTCCTGCTGCTGAATTTTGGCCTTTTTGACTAATGAGTTTGCCGACCACTGGTGTAGGCCAATGCTTCCCACCGGGCATGATAGAAATGACAGTTATTTTCTAGTTTAACACTGTAATTGTTTATCATTTATTACAAAATATATAGAGTTCTCTAGTTTTACGTTTTCAAATTACAGAGTTGAATCTCGAAATCGAAAGAGGCGGGGAGATTAAACAATCAATATTAGTAATTATAGTTAGATAGGACTTTATAAACAAAAAATATCTTCTACTAAGGTTAGGACATTAATTTTTTTTTAGATTCTCTTTTGGTTCACTGCAAAAAAAGATTATGAGAACCACTGGTGTGGGTAAATGCTCCTTCTGTTTGGGTGTGTTGTTTGTTGTTTGTTGTTTGTTGTTCTGGCTGACAAAAAGCAAGTGTGGCAAAAGTATTGATTAACTCGTTTAGAATGAAGCTGGAGACGAGGATTTGAAATATTTGCTTTCATCCGAGTAACATGCACATACACTGGCGTACGAAGGGGGTACAGATGGTTAAGCTTTTTTCTATACATATAGGGGCGCAATTTTAGGCCAACTGCAGATTTTCTCTTTTTTTGGTAGGGGCGGCGTCAGGCTTTTTCCGGCATGGGTGACGAAACACTCGGGTTTATGGTTTAGACCCCTCCCAAGATTTCATGCAACGTAGTCAAGGTTTTATTTGTAACAGCGCGTCGATCTCATTTGACAAGGATCCCTTTGTGAACACATAGTTAATAACACTTCGTGAAGCTTTTAGTTATTCTTTCATGTTCATATCCGCCAGAGATGACTATATACATCACTTGACACTTTCAAAGACACAATAATAAGAATACCTGACCAACTCCAACACACTTTCTTTGTCACAAGTTTGCTCCAAGATCCCTTATTCCCAACAACTTTACGGAATACAAACTACAAAGCAGCAGCTACACATTTAACCTTGAAACAAAATACGCTCACAAACAAATCATTAACACCATGAACAACTCACAACCGCGATTCTCATACTCTTGACACAAACCCTATAGCTTTGCCACGGTGCATGTAGATTTAACAGCAGATCTTAAAGGAAAATAAAGGCGATGGAGATGAGATGCTTCAGAAGCATTTTTGGCATCTGCTATAAGGACCATATCTCCAATGATACAGAGAAAGAAAGGGTTCGCCAGGCAATCGGGGAGTACGATGACTTACTGGTGACTGTGAAAAAACACAAACTACAATGGTACGGCCACGTAACAAGGAAATAAGGGCTTGCCAAAGAAATATTGTAGGGCACCACAAGAGGAGGGAGAAGAAGAAGAAGGCAAAGAAAAATATGTGAGGATAACATCAAAGAGTGGACAGGACTAACACTGGGCGATGCTGTGCGTAGTGCAGAAGACAGAGACGAATGAAGGATAGTTCAGATGTCATCTGTGGCGCCCCAATGGTCCAAGGACATGATGATGATGATGATGATGATGATGATGATGATATAGATTTAAGCACAATATCATAATTACATTTTTCTTAACCCTCAGGAGGGGAAGCAAACCCTCCCAGACCCTTTGGGAGAGTGGACCACCAACACTTTAAATACAGCTTTTTTCGGTCAACCGGACGTCCCCCAGGCCAGAAGGGGGGGGGGTCCCCAGCGTGCCCCCCCCGCACGGTCTGGTGGCGGGGAAACCCGGCCTTTGGCCCCTGCGAGGGTGTGCCGGGGGGCATTAAGATCTCACGCTCGACGGCCCACCGACGCCATTACCCATGTGACGTTATTAATAAACTGGTATACACTGGTCCCGTGTAACATTTTATCGAGACAATAGAAAGAAAAATCTAAAACAATAATAGTTATTGTGCAATTAAAATAAAGTTTATAAGACGTTAAAATAATTACTACAAACGAAGAGTGTGCTTAATATCGACTGCTTCCCTGGCTTAACAGTGCAATGCACGTTTGACACAGTTGTGTGCACACATGCAGAAAAGTACTTGGGTATAAATTCAAGATAAAATATAAGATAAGATATTTTTATTCATCCAAATTCAATCGAAATTTGTTTTATTTTGTTGTTTTTCATCGTAAATATTTTTTCTAATCTTGAAAATCCTTGTTTGAGTCTTTCGTTGTGTCTTCTGCAGCAAGACTTACGTCGAACAATTGTGCGATAAGAATAACTGTTGAGTTCTTGAGTTTGAGTTGAAATTTTGAACAGAGTCTTGACTTTTTGTTGTTGGTTGTTTTTGTTTTTTGGACGGTGTTCTTGTTGTTTCCTCCCACGATCATGGACACACTCGTTATGTCTGCAGTCCCATTGTCTTTGGGTGGTTGGCATATGCCAGAAAAGATCATTTGGTGTTCGAAAAAAATGAATTGTACGACACCAAAAGGTAGCAGATAAGCGTTTCTGTCAACCTGACAGATCTCAAGAGACATGGACCATGACCGTGTGAAGAGGGTTGAAGTTGTCCCTCGCTCCTTGCAATAATGATTGTTTTTTTTTTAAATGTCCATTTCGTGGCTGTACTTTTTACTATATATTAGGGGTGGCATTTTCAAAACTGACCAGCTGGCGAGTCTTGAATATGTATTTGGGCTTGGAGGATATCTGATGATGTACTTTGATGAGCTATCTTGTATAAAACCTAGTCAGTATCCGCTGAAGATCGCTGCTTTTATTTTTCGGCCCAGAGCAATTAGATAACTATACAGATTTTATTAATCAACTTTTTTTTTTCTTTCTGCTACAATAATTTACTTTTACTATGGAATCCTATAATTCATATAAGCGTATGGCCTGTGTTGCTATGATTACATTAAATTGATGCATTTTACAACCATTTACTTTGATGTGAACGTCACGAAGATGCACAGCATATCTGCATAGGCGTAGTCTGAAAACAAAGGAAGTTAAACTTCGGTTTACAATTTAGTTTGGTGCGTAGCATAATAATATTTTAAAAAATCAAAGCTCGTTTCCCCTTACGTTCTTTTTAACTAATTCCTAGCGATTTCTTTACTCTCATACAACTGACGATTTATCTGCTCTTCAAAATTCTAAAAAAAAAGACAAAATTGGGTTAAATCGCTTTGTTTTAAAGAAAATTTGCAATCGGGGATAAACATCAAGATGGTGGCAATTAGGAATAAGGTTGGGCACTACCTCCGTCAATATCTAAACCTATATAAATGTGCCCCAGCTTATGCATCCGCTCTTGTGATTAGTCCGTCGCTAGTCAGTCTCACAAGATAGAGCTTGGGAACTAGACCCATTTCTGTCAATAGTCAGGCTCTCAAGACAGAGTTAGGGAACTAGACCCATTTCTGTCAATAGTCAGGCTCCCAAGACAGAGTTAGGGAAATAGACCCATTTCTGTCAATAGTCAGGCTCCCAAGACAGAGTTAGGAAGCTAGACACACTTCTGTCGCTTTTCAGTCTCACATGATACAGTTGGGAGCTAGACACACTTTCTGGTCAAAGCTCTGTTTACATTGCAGCTATTTACACTTTCCTCAAGCCAATGATAAAGAGATAAGTACAGCATCTTAACTTCCACATTTTAATAAATTCAAAACTTTTTTTCTTGTGATCATTATTCCTTTCTAACATTTGTTTACATATAGGAAGTGTTTAAAGGTGTTCTTCCAATAAATTAATAGTATACCTTGTACTATATTAAAATAGTCTTACCTTTAGGTAACACGTCCAAGGAGGCCATGCCATTCCTTGTCGAATAGATAAACTTTGGAAAGCTTGTAATAGTTAAATGCCACGTTGTGGCACAGACCTCTATGAGTGCATCTATTGCAATGAAATAGGCGACGTCATTTCCGCATCCACTGTAAGGTCCATTTATTGAAAAGCGACGCACACTTCTCCCGTCATCTAAGCTGAAGAAAGACACGAACACTTAAGTTTAAGTTAACCATTGTGTTAACTGTGCAAAGGCACGTTATTTGACGATAAATTAAACTAGAATAAGCAATATTTTCCCTACCCTGCAACACTGAAATTTGAAATGCCCGAGTCATGTTTCATATTTCCCCATGTAGAGTTGATAATGTTGGACTTCGTAAACCACGATGTCCGTGTTGAGCCTTTGCCATTAAACAGAATGTACTTTATCTCCCCACCGCTGTCGTACAGGGATAACTTAACCTGTGTGGTACAAGAGGATAGCCATCTCATTTCAAAGTTACGAGAAGTTCAATAAAAGAAATAACTTTAATGAAATATTGAGAAAAACTATATCGCAGCTATAACAACAAAAATATAATATTACGATAATTTCATATAACATCCTTTCGCCATAAACGCAACAATACAAAACATAAATAATATTTAAAAACGAGCTTTGTAAAATTAAAAAATAAATGTATATAAGCTTTCTCATGTAAAATACTTTTTGTGCTTCAGAATTTACTAAACAGTATAATAAATACCTACTTTTTAACAACATTTGTTGTTAAGGAAATTATTTTTAGTATTTTATTATTTTAAAAGATACGGATTTAGTGAGCATGATATTTTTTTCCCATACGTTTAATAGACGTACACTACATATGGATACTAATAACAACCAGGGTTTCTTTCAGCTATATCTCCGGCCCCGAGGAAAGCCAAGTGCCCCACGGAGCAAAAATATGTCCAACAATAAATCAACTGGCACTGCCCCCCCCCCCCAAACAAAAAAGAATCTGAAATGTCCCCCCCCCAAACCCCCGGGGGGAAAATTTCTGAAATAATCACTGATAACAACACAATTAAAATTTTTAAATAATTTACTATTTCATAGTTTAAAATAGTTAAACTTCAAGATTTTTCTTAGTATGTATCAAAATTAATTCATTGAACTCACCATATCAATATTAAACCATCGATCCAGGATGAAGCTCCTGAAATGCCGCGTGCATGTGTTAGAGAAACTCAACTGTAAACACTGAACAGGGAAGTCAACTGATAGTGGATTGTCATCAGATGTTCCAGTGGACGTCCATAAGTCGTACAACGATTTGTTGGTGTCTCTCTGGGCTCTAAAAACTAAAGTCCACTTGTCAAATTGAACTGCAAGGTGATTGAAACATTAGTTGAAATAAAAGTTATTTATATGCATCTGCTTAAAGGGGGTTAAATAATTTTCAGGCCCAACTATTGACGACACAAATTGTTGCAGAAACACATTTTTTAGGTACAATTTTGACACTGGTTTATTTAGCTACTTGTGGATGAAGGTGTCGGCAAAGAAATGCACAGCATTGGTGCAAGCGTAAATTACACAAAGTCGAAATTAAAAAAAAAAACTGTATAAAGGCAACAACTAAAATTCATTAAACAAAGTGAGTAATCTTGAGTCAAGCACTTCTTGATGACGATAAATAGTTTGTTTCATGGTAAATTTGTTGGAATAATTTCAGACGATATTTCAAGCGGTAGGCCATAAATATGTTAAAGGTACATTTAAAAAAAAAACAAAAAAAAACCTAACTGCAATTAGATTTTAATTGCAAGTTCGAAAGAAATCAAAATTTCTCCACAGTTTAGTTTCAGGTTTATGAATCAGTTAAATAAATTAAAGAATGATATTTTATACAGACGACAGCATGGAAAATTCTTGTACTGAATTACACTAAGACGGGTAGAAATTAAATTTTTTGTTTTATTTTAATTTAATTTTATTTTCTTTGAAGAGGGGGAAGTATTAAACAGTATCAAATGTTACATAGTTAGTAGGATACTGAGTATGTTAAAGGAAATAAAATGGGCTTATAAACTTATGAAATCTTTAACATTTGTTTAAAATAAACTCGCGGTTCTAAAAGATTTCTAAGAGGTTAGAGCAAACATTTTTTTTTCCTTTCCATTATATTTGTTATCTGGCTTCGTTGAAGTCGATTTCATTTGCGCAATCATTTTATTCGGTCTGACTTTTATCAAATATTTCAGAAGAATTGATATCGGACAAATGCAGCACTTTTTAGAAAAATACCTTACACAAATATACCTGGCTCATTCTTGTAAATGATGTACCATTGAGGATCCCTGATCCGTTTGATGGAGCTGTCATACACCCTGTCTTTGAATGTCACACATAGGTTAAGTTCCCGACTTAAAGTAGCACTTGCACAATCTCCAGTACAGAAATTTGCGCACCTTGCAAGGGACATGTCTAAAGAGCAATTTTATAGTATAATTATAAGAGACATTTTTTAAAAGCACCCGCAGAAATTAGCAAATCAAAACTAAATTATCTTTTAATAGAAACTATATTTAGATATTTCAATCTGTTGATGATTTTAGTACCACTGACGCGTGTCTTGCTTTACTACAATGATTACGATAGGACCATATATGGCAGTCTGTGGTAGCCTATGTCTATTCCACTTTTAAACTGGTAGCATAATTCTTTTTCACCAATCGGAACTCATCATTGTGTAACTCGTTTTAAAGAATGGTGAAGAAAAAAATGTCATTGAAATTAAATTAACTATCACTGGGTTTTTAACATAATAGTTTTATTTTCATTTAATGCATTCAATAACTTTTTATTTCATCGAATTATTTTTTAATTCCGGTTTATGTATTTCTGTTTTCTTACTTTTAAAGCTGAATTTTCGTATCTCTGTTCCATTGTACAGCTTGTATCCCTTCCATGTTTTAAACTTGTGTTTCTCAACAGCTGCCTGGGACTCCCACAACCACGAAGCAAACAGTAAAAATGTTAAGACAAGCATCGCAGCCAAATCAATGCAGTAGTTTATATCACAGGATATTCCTGGTCAGAGAGTGCCAACGCTTGGTGACAAAAGGCCAATAATCATTACAACATTCCCAGCCATTACCATTGGGTGAAGTTAAAAATGGACGTTCTTTCACCAATTGCACAGATTTTGTAAACGTAAAATTAAAAAAATTCAGGACGTGATTTTTAAAACCATCACAGCACTTAATATTTGTCTTCTAAAATGTATACAGCAGGGTAACGTTTAGAAAAGACCTAACAATGAAGAAAGCTTAAAAAGAAAAAGAAACCTGAAAATAATTTTTAAAACTATATATATATATATATAATATGTATGTATGTATGTATGTATGTATGTATGTATGTATGTATGTATGTATGTATGTATGTATGTATGTATGTATGTATGTATGTATGTATGTATGTATGTATGTATGTATGTATGTATGTATGTATGTATGTATGTATGTATGTATGTATGTATGTATGTATGTATGTATGTATGTATGTATGTATGTATGTATGTATGTATGTATGTATGTATGTATGTATATACAGAGAAGTTACTTAAAGTAGGCTCATTTTCACATGTAATTTTCATACACTTTTGTATTTATTTTAATTCAACTTCAGATTTAACTATTTTAATTTATTAAGAGAACGTCTGTATAACTTCAAATGCGTTTGTTAATCAGATTTAATTTCAAGATTGTCGCTGAAGGTATAGAAATTACAATATCACATTTATCCTCGATTAAATAGAAACATGTCCCCCATTGATATGCTCGATGTATGACCTATCCTGTCCAATGGCACATATACATCTACTAAAATTTCATTTTTTATCAGACTTTACTACAATCATGTCTTAAATTTAAAGCCTTGCTGGCCCGGCTTGAGAATCATTCATTGACATCCTGCTTACTTCATCGACTGCGATTTGATGCTCGCCTGGTTGCCGATGTAAATTATGACTTTTTATTTTGTGTGTTGAAGATTTCTAAACAATGTCTGACATTTTCATTTGTTTGTCTTATCTTTACATCACGGTATGGTGACATCGATTTTTAAACGGTCTGCCAATTTGTCAATGTTGTTCATTAAAGCCTTTAGGAAGGCGCATTCAAATTCTCAAAACACCAAACAATTGTTCAAAGTTTATCAAAGTATCGAAAATAGATTGGACACTTGGGCGTTTGTTAGATGGAAGGTTATTGTTCTAAGGCGACATTAAGCGACAAACTGTATTCACACGTCATATTAAAACATGACTATTGTCTCACATTGTATCAGTTCTTTTGTTTCATACACTATTCCTTCCTGAACTTGCAGTGAAACGAGTTTCTAAAACTATTGATGATCAGGACATTTCCAGGACAAATATTAACTTACTGTAAATATGTGTTTGTTGGTTGTTCTTATAAATGGCAGCTTAATCAGATTTTTTTTTTTATTTATGGAAAATGTGTTTCATTTTTATTTTATTTTTTGCATTTAAGGGATTGGCTCTTGTAACAATCTGGGGTGGCGCTGATGATGAAACAGGAAATGTTAACAGCTCTTGTAACAATCTGGGGTGGCGCTGATGATGAAACAGGAAATGTTAACAGCTCTTGTAACAATCTGGGGTGGCGCTGATGATGAAACAGGAAATGTTAACAGATCGCCCCTGTTAAGAGAGGAACAAAAGTTGGCCATGTTTAAAAGGTGGAGATTTATACCACAATATAACCACAACTTTTTTACGGGCTTTATCCAAAGGTTGGACGAAAGCGTTCTTTATTCGAATGTCTCAAAACCCAAATAAATGGATTTCAGTTTCAGGATTGGGGGGGGGGGCGGGGGGGCGTTCAACTGATTGCATATTTATAAATAAACAAATAATTGTTGGCGTTAACAAACGAAATTATTAGCGTATAATGTACTACAGTGCAACCATTGGAAGCCTACTGAGTTTTAGTATTACCTGATAGTGTGGAAATTCATCGCCTTTCATAAAACACCGTTTAAATAGATATCAAAACAAAGCGAGGAATATCACTCAAACAAAACAACCTTCGCTTGAAGAACTGTTTGATGCAATATGCATTAATTTTTTAAAGTGGATCAGTTGACTGTATGACACTAATTTAACACCATTAATTTTTCATTTCCAATTATTTTACAAAACAAATTTGATCTATTATTATTCGTTGATACATTTTGTAGTGTATTTTATTTAAAAAGAAACCTGAGATAAAATAACACGGCAAATAGAGGTGTTAATTTAGTGAAAACATAAACTGACGTGAACTGAGGAACCGAATAAGAAGGAGATAGAGAGAAGGGGTGCATGGGAGATATAAAATCATTTTT